CCTTAAGCATATTCCGTTCCTAAGAGGACCGAATAAAGGAGAGGACCGCCGATTTGAGTTATTATCCAGTGAGCAGTGCTTCTATTACTATTAATTATTATTCTCGTATTATCTTTCAATATTATAAGGCCCGGATACCTATATTTGAACCTGGGCCGATCTACAGTCCTTGGGAAAATATTGGGTATCCATCAGTTGGATGTGGAAAAAATGGCGGAGCACAAAAAATGATATTTAAAGATTTTTTTTCGAAGTGTTATTTTATTATTAGTATTTAATTTGATGCTTTTTTTTAATTGATACTCAATATTTCTCTAATTTGGTTGAAAAAGTCAAACAAAACATATTTTTTAAGGTTACGACCATATTCTAGTGTGATTGAAAACACAATTAATAAAATACGAGTAAAATATATTTTTCTTTCACTAAGTAAAATTTTCTATTTTTTATTTGACTTAAAATAAATATTTCATTTTTTTCTTTGTATAAAGAGCGGCATATGCGCACCAAATCACTCGTACGTGAATTACAAAATCACAGTGCAAGCCCCAAGATTTACTAAATTGTTTTAGAGCGCAAAAAATGTACATAAATCGCCAATTTGAGGATTAAGGCTCGTCCGTTTAACTTATTTTTTTTGATCTGATCTGATTTTAATAAGTTCTGATCTGATCTGATCTGATTCGATCTGATCTGATCTAATTAGATCTGATCTGATCTGATCTGATTGGTTCTGATTTGATTGAAAATTGTAATGATAATTCATATTATAATATAATCAATATTTTTTTATGATTATTTTTTAATGAAACAAAATTAATTAACTCATATATTAGAATAATCATTCATATTATAATGTAAAAATATTTTTTATTTTATGATTTTTTAATGAATAATATTGATTTAATATTTTAATAATTAGTTTATATAAACATTAGAATAATTATTTAATTTATATATGCACTAAAATGTTATTTAATATAGATAATCAATGTTATTAATAATCATTAATATTTTTATTAAAAGATCACATCCTTATATTATCAATGTTAAGCAAAGAAATAATACATTTTTCATTAATAATTAAAGATTA